TGTGATAAAGATCCTCAAGAATGAAGAATGGGAGCTGATTTTCTAGCATCCACATGTCAGGCTGTACATACCTGAACATCCACGGTTTGTTTAATAAGCGGTCTCCATCATGTCCACATTCTTTCAGATAGAACCTCAATAAGAACTCAATAGTGAAGGCAGCATCCACTAGAATGATTTTTACAAATTCATCACTGCTAAACTTGATGGGTTCTGCATAACAACTTCTCAGTCTTGCTTCTTGGTCCCTAATTTTCTTGATATAGTCCTTCAAGCTTACCTTAGTCCGACGTATAAAATCTCGTAGGTACCTCTTTTTCTGCTCTTCCATGGCTTCTAAACCTTCCTTGCCATGATGAAGTGGACCTATAGAGATGACTTGAGGTGTGTAGGCCTTTTCCTCCAGACGTCGTATGTCATCGGGAACTCTGTAGATACAACACGAAGAGGACAAGGCAGGCAAGCTATCTAACTCCTCCCGCAATGAAGTTTCTAATGGAACGTATGGCATGTTAATTGTGTCATTTGGACCAGCTTGATTGCATTCTTCCATTTTCCTGTTGATGTGCTATGCTGAGCAAACCAAAGTGACGGCACAAAAGGCCACCCTTAAGTAGATCGATAGAGTATAAGATACAAATAACCCCCTCAACTTTGACAAATGTGTCAATTTAGTTCTTGAAATTTAGGGCCCGTTTGATAACAATTTCAATTTTAATTTTTAGTTTTCAATCTTTCATTTTTTGTGCTAGATAGTATAGAAAAAAATGAGAGTGAGAATGAGAGTGAGGATGAGATTAAGAGAGAGGATAAGAGGGGAGGATGGAAGGGATGAATAACAAAAGTTAAAACAATTTCAAATAGATTTCAGTTTTTAGTTTTAGTTTTCACTTTATTACTCCTTCCTCTCATCTTCCCTCTCAATCTCATCTTCACTCTCATTCTCACTTTCATTCTCTCTCTTTGTCCTCTATACTCTAACACAAAAAATGAAAACTAGTAACTAAAATTGAAATGTCTATCAAACAGGCCCTTATATTACAAAGAAAATACCAAATATTGAACTCATCATAAGAGAACACAGAAAAACCTCACTGCTTGCAACTCTTACACCACCACTACAAGAACAATTGCTAATTAAAATAAGTCACATGTGGTACTTAACTCTAAAAACTTATTTAGATCATATATCCATATTTATATATCCTACTCCTCGATCAAAACATACCATGAAACATAAGTGACTTAAACCTTCAGGCAAATGGAAGGTATATAGCAATTTCTAGAACAACACAGTAATCCAGAAGAAATATTATGAAATGAAAAGAATAAAAAGTAAAAAAAGCGAAGGAAAGGATTTCCCACCTGCTATGTATATGCATGAAAGGAAGGACCAAGTTTGTTTTGCCTTTGGTTAATGACCAGAAAAGTTCACTTGCAGATTGCTTTCTCCGGCCGTAGATGCAAGAGAAATTTTCTCTTAATAATAGCACAATGATCGGGTAATTGTAAGAATAAGTTGATATAAAATTCGGGTCAACTCATAGATTTCTTGCCTTTTTATATTCTCCTTCCTTGGACATGAGCTGTTTAATCTTGGACTCTTCCCCCATCATGTTGGGCCTGTCTTCTTCTTGAGGATTGTCTAGGCCCAGGAAATGCTTCGAGGTAGTTTTTGTGTTTTGGGCCTTGGGATCCAACTTCACAAAAAGAAAACAGATTTGACCAAAAAACAAATTTGAAGGACATTGAAATTGTACCTGTAGGATAGGTTAAAACACTATAACGGAGGTAAATAGTACGTTTACAGAGTTTAAGTGTAATAAAGGAATAAAAACAAGCCAGAGGATCGATAAGTGATATCGATTCTTGAATGTACAGAACGTAAAATAAAGGAACACGTAGAAAATTATTTTATGTGGTAAAATCCCACTTTTGGGGAAAATCCATGGGACTTCTTAGTCCAAAACAAATCCATTACAGAACGATGATTACAAGAAGTACTCACACTGACAGGACTAGACCCAAATTCCACTTTGGAATCCGAGCCGAACCCTGTGCGTGTCCGACACCTGGCAAGTGCCGAGCACAAATGACCAAAT